GCACCAGTTGACAACCTGATGTCTATAGTCTATAGCTTTATAGCGAAAATCCCGAAATCCACCTCTAAACAAACCCTAAACCCTAAACCCTAAACTCTAACCCCTAAACCCAAGCATTAACCCCTAAACCTGCAAGCGCAGCATGAGGCTGAACGTCAGTGACACGTATGTGGCATCTGGAGATTCGAAAGGCGAGCTCAGCGTTTGTTTAGGGTTTAGTGGTTTAGGGCTTAGGGTTTAGGGTTTAGGGGTTTAGAGTTTAGGGTTTCCACGTGGGTATTGTGGGGGCCTCTTTGTAGAGTATGGGTAAGTCTTTAGGCTTTTTTGGTAACCTTTTAGATCCTTTTGGCTTTCACATAATCCTAGAACCACCCCTGACACAGGCTCAACCGTGTCTGGGCCACTCAATTCATCAACTGCCTTTGCAGGTGAGTTGTATACTGCTTCTCACGCATTGCAGATTGGAGAGTGAGAGTGGGGGGTGTCCTATTCTTTCTGCTTGGGCTCTGGTGTGTTCGATCGTCGATCTAAAGAATCGAGAGCCAGTGTAGAGAGCATCAGGGTTTGACTACATGGATCCTGCATTCCTAATGTTGTCCACCATAGGAGCCAGAGGCAACAGTGATGGTACTATTATTATTAGTAGTTTTGTTACTTACTTCCGGGTTTATTTGGAAAAGAGTTGGCAGTAGCATGCAAGATCCCTTTTGCTGACGTCTCATGAGGCAGCATGTAGTCAGGGAAGGAATCACATTGCAAACATCAGTTTAAGGGACTGGGTATTTTGTGAAAGTTTGCCGTTGCAGCGCAGTCAATCGAAGCTGGAAGCCCTGTGAATGCATGATCAGAATGATCAGAAGGCTTTGCAGGTGCGGAGATCAGCATGTTTAGGAACATGACGGCATGGAAGTTCAGAAGCAGCATGGTGAGGTATCGCGGTGTTTTGGGCAGCGTACCACACTTCCCTAGGTTGGTCTCATGACACGAGAAGCGAATCCTATGATTTCTGAGTTTGAAGCCTGGATCCTTCCCACCCAAGCCTTAAACCCTCCATTTGGGTTTTGAGGGTGTTGGTAGATGCCGGGTCCTTGAGGCAAGAGTTTTTAACCACCCAGCCCCAAACCCCAAGCAGTCAAACTTGCGGTGCCCCGATTACATCATCTAAGGCCATCTGGGTTTCAAGAGTGACGGTGACGTTCACCCGCCATACCCAGCATCAGAACAGATCCCACGCCGTAAACTGTACATGCCAACTGCCCAGAATATGATCCTTTAATGAACAGCCACTGCAGTAAGCAGAGCGATCATGCAGAGCCCTACACTACACCTTAAAAGACGAAACCCGCATCCGTTTCCAAACCCAATAAGGTCCCCAAAACTGCATTTATGCCTTACTAAGCCCTAAACACCTCGGGCCCGAAACACTAAACTTACAAAACACTAAACCCCCAAACCCTCAACCCCCGAACCCCTAAACCCCTAAACCCTTAAACCCTTAGCCCTTAGCCCCAAAACCCCTCAACCCCTTAGCACGAACCCCCAGACCCTAAACCCCCCTAAACCCCAAACCCTACAACCCCTAAACCCCCTCAAACCCTCAAACCCTCAACCCCTAAACCCCCTGAACCCCTAAACCCCCTGAACCCCCTAAAGCCCCGCTCAAACCTTAGACCCTAAACCCCTAAACCCTAAACGACCCTAAACCCTCCAGGATGGACCTCCACCTCCCCCGCGAACTGCGAGTACTGTACCCCCGGAGACAAGTGCGAAGTCGGCAAAGCGAGGCCGAGTTGTGGTTTCCTTTTTTTAAGGGGTTTAGGGTTTGGGGCTTAGGGGCTTAAGGTTTAGGGTTTAGGGCTCGGGGGTTTAAGGTTTAGGGTTTAGCTTTTTGGGGTTTAAGGTTGAGGGTTTAGGGTTGAGAGTTTAGGGTTTCGGGTGGTTTAGGGTTTGGGGTTTGGGGGGTTTGAGGCTTAGGGGGCTTAGGCTTTCGTGAACTTTAGTGTTTAGGGCTCCCTTTCAGGGATCCCAAAAACGCTACCAGGGGCTCCTCGCAGGGATCTGTAGGCGTTCTATAAGGGCTTCAGGGCTTCGGGGTAAGGGCTCCCGTAAAGGGACTCGAACGGGTTGCTGTAAGCGCTACTTACGTCACCATAGGTTAATGTAGGGGCCTTGCTACTTGGAGGTTCCTAGAAAGGGCTTATGGGGAAACAAGGGGGGTGAGAGAAGGTATGTTGCTTAGGGTGTCGGGGTTCGGCTAGGGTATTCAGTGTTGAAAGTGTCGGGTTATTCGACTTGGGTTTCAGGGTGCGGGGTTTCATGTCTGGAGGTGCAGCAGGCTTGAGACTTAGAGCTTAAATCCCGATTTCTACGAGGCTTCCTTGGGGTTGCTCTAGGGACCCAAATTTGGGGAGGTCTCTAAAGCGCTTGACACGAGTTGGTGTATACGGTTCGTGACGCACAGCTCTGTGTTTGAGAGCTTCAGCAGGCAATCGTAGGATCTCTGTGTCTCAACGAGTCGCGGGGCGACTTTGTAAGACAAAGTGGATTTGCCTTCTCAATCTAAACCCAGATCCTTTGTCGAACCATTCCTGAAGCCAGACAAAAAGCTGCCAGCCTCTTCTTGCAGGGGGAGTTTTTTTTACCTCATCCGCCGTCTGCAAGTCCTACACCCCTAACGTAGCCCGAAACCCCAAGCACTAACACCTAATTGTCTCAACTTGAACATAGATCCCTTAGGAACCCTTATAGCTCCTCTAACTCTAACCCCCAAGCACTGACACCTAATCGTCTCAACTTGAATATAGATCCCTCATGGGAACCCTTATAGCTCCTCTAAAGGAGCCCTAAACCCTAAACCCTACACCCCTAAACCCTAAACCCAAAAACCCTAAACCCCTACAGCTCCTCTAAAGGCGCCCCTAAAACCCACGTCTTTGCAGGCACGACAAGGTCTGCGTTCGTTCCGGAGACCTCTCGAAGGTCCAGGAGCTGCCTTCGATTTGTGGGTTTAAGGGTTAAGGGTCTGGGGGTCTAGGGTTTAGGGTTTTGTTGGTTTCAGGGTTAAGGGTTAAGGGTTTAGGGTTTAGGGTTTAGGGTTTAGGGTTGGGTTTCGTTGGTTCAGAGAAACCTGCAGGTGGTTCGTGTTTACCCAGAGGCTCCTTAGTAGTTCCTTTTTGCGATTACCTTACAGGATACCACAAAAAGGAACTACTAAGGAGCCTATGCGTAGGGGCTTCGGGTTGCGGGGTTCAGGGTTTAGGGGCTTAGGGTTTAGAGTTTTGGGTTTCGGGTTGTTCCCTATGGAACGTTGCAGAACTAAGCCGCAATCCTGAACTGCAGGAGCTGGACAGCTGGGACGATGAGAGAGTTTTCGAGGCCCCGTGCATTGGGACCGTTTTGAGGGTTCTGGGGTAGCAAGAAAATTTCCGGAAAAAAAAGGGTCCCTAAACCCAAAGCCCCTAAAACCCCTGCACACCTATATGCCCCTAGACCTTAAGCCCCTAAACCGGCATTGAGGTATTGGCAAGAGAGGTCCGGGGGTTCCGGCAGTCCTTACCAGCCAAACTTCAGGCCACCCCCAAAGGATGGCGCAAGCGGTTTAGCGGTTTTAGGGTTCAGGGTTTAGGGTTCGGGGCCAACACAACAAAGCCGTAAACCGTAAACTCTTGGTGGAGTGTAGTGGGGGCTGCATGTTGACAAGCAGCATTCCCTAGGTTTCCCTGCTCTCGTCTATTCGTCGCATGGGAACACACGGAACCCTGGTCTAACCATCCATTAGGACAGTATCAGTATGCTGCAAAAGTGTGGGGCTTACGTGGTACCCTAAGCCGGCTTACAGGGTACGCGGAACGCTAAAGCCCCAAACCCTGAACCCCCAAACCTCCAAACCCCTTGACAGCAAACCCCTAAACCCCTAAACCCTGAACCCCAAAACCCAACAAAGCTCAAACCCTAAACCCAAAACCCCTAGACCCTTAACCCTAAACCCCCAAACCCCCAAACCCCTAAACCCCAAACCCCCAAACCCCTAACCCCCCAAAATCCCTAAACCCAAAACCCTAAACCCTAAAACCCCTAAACCCAAAACCCCAAAACCCCTAAACCCAAAACCCGTAAACCCTAAACCCCAAACCCCTAAAACCCTAAAGCCCTAAACCCTAAACCCCTAAACCCGCAGCTGAAATTCGTAAAGACCGAAGCCCACGGTCCGGCTGCTTGGTGCCAGGCCTGGGGGAAGAAAGAAAGGGCAGGCGCCGACGAGGAATCAACCTCAGTGGCTTCGGGTTTAGGGGTTTAGTTTCTAGGGCTTTAGGGTATAGGGTTCAAGGTTTTTGGGCCTAGGGTTTAGGGCCTTAAGATCAGGATGATGCCGGGCTTGCTCTGCGGCAGTAGGGCAGCGGGCTGGCTCAGGACTTTAACTTTTAAGGTTCGAGGTCTTGTTTAGGTTTGCTCTTGGGCTTTTGGGTTCATGCAGCTGGGCAGAACTCTTTGGGCTTTTGGACTTAGCGTCTTGGGGCTTACTATGCTCGTGGCAGAGGTTTCGAATACGGTGGAATGCGACACGGTTTCGTCTGCAGTTCCTATGAGCGGGACATGCAGGGATAGAAGATTCTAAGATGGCATAAGAATGTAATTAATGTTATTCCTGGTCAGTGCTTGTACTACGGCGACGCCTGCTACTAGTTTTAGTACTACGAGCCCGCCTGTGCGACAAGTCTTTGATGACCAGTCTGGTGCCACGTGCAACTGCAGTAGAAAAACCTCAGTGCACAGAGCTTGAACGTTGCCTGCAAGTTACTTGGCTGAGCATTGAAATACGCCCGATGTGGGTCAAGTTCAAGCTCGCTGCTCAAGGAGCCTTACTTCTTAGAAGCCTCAATGCCCAGAGAAGATCATAGAAGGACACCCCCCATGATACACCGTTTTCGTATAATGGTCCCATGAGACTTCGGTGTTGTGTAGAGCCTCCGGCCGTTGCCGGACAGCCTGTTCGGAAACCGATGGGCTGGTTCGATGACAACTTCGACAATTTTCTCGGTCACCACTATGGCATCGGCATGTTTGGAGCGGACATAGGAGATGACTGCGACATGGACGAAGGGGAGTGCGTCAACTGCGGTAAAAAGGGCATGAAGTTTGAATCTGCCGTGGACAAGGGGATCGACTGGGGCTTGTACACAGGTCACCCCGATGCTATTCGCACTTGCAACAAGTGCAAGAAGGACCACAAGTCTTGCATGACTGAAGTTATGGCTGTGAAGAAATACAAGGTCCTGGGCCAGAGCGGTGCCTTTGGGAAGCTGCGACAAGAAGGAAGGTACTTCACCCAGAAACCCGAGGCTATGGGCATGCAGTGCCGCAAGAGTACCTACTTCTGGGTGGTGGACTTGGAAGAAGCAGCAGCAAAACTCGGCTGGCAGCCCAAGGAGAACTCCAAAGCGATGCCGAAGGAAAGCACCCAAGCAACAAAACGAACCGCAAGTGTTGCTGGGATGCTGGGGTTGCCAAAGGCCAAAGCTCAGGCTGCTGTTAATGCAGACGGGAAGCCGGTGCGGAGGTGTGGGATTTGTCGGCAGCCGGGGCATAACAGAACCTTGACGGCGATTGAGAAGATTCTATTCCTATACACTGCCTGGTAGTCAGATCCAAATGTTTTAGGCGTTGAATTTTACAAGCACATCAGCCACCTTAGTTGCAGTTGCGGTCTCATGAAGCACTCAGGAACAAAGTGTCCACACAAGGATGCTGCCCCTGCAACTGTGCCAGCTCCGGCAAGTGCTGCACCGGCCCTTGTAGAGAAAGATCCCACAGCAGCTTCCGCAGCTCAGCAAGCAGCAGCTCCGGCAAATGAAACGGTGAAGCTCGTCTTGTATGATTGAGCTTCAGGAAGTTACCCTGCCATGTTAAGGATGTGTATGTGTATGTGTATGCGTATGTGTATGTATGTGCATGTATGTGTATGTATGTGTATGTATGTGTATGTATGTGTATGCATGTGTAAGTATGTGTATGTATGTGTATGTATGTGTATGTGTATGTATGCATGCATGCATGTATGTATGTATGTATCTATGTATGCATGCATGCATGCATGCATGCATGTATGTATGTATGCATATATGTTTGCATGCATGCATGCATGCATGCATGCGTGTGTGTATGTATGTATGTATGTATGTATGTATGTATGTATGTATGCATGCATGCATGCATGTATGTATGCGTATGTGTATATACATGTATATATATATATATTTCATACATAAACATATGTACAAGCACATAAAAAATATTAATGCATACACATATATATATACACACGTTGTCATTACAGTACATTAACTCACACAGGAACATACATACAGACGGACAGAAATCCAGACAGACATGTAGACGGACACACAGAGACAAACAGACAGGCAGGCAGACAGACAGACAGGCAGACTGGCTGAATGACTGACTGATGGCTGACTGACTTACTGACTGGCTGACTGACTGACTGACACATACCCACATAGGCAGACACACACACACACACACACCCCGCACACACACACATACACACATATTACAGAGATATATATCTACATATATATATATATATACACACACATACATATACATGTTTATTGGTAGAAAGAGAGAGACAGCCCATGCGACACGATACGACGGGAGATGATGGGACAGAACAGGAAAGGACATGACAGGACAGGGGATAGCATAGGATAGGATAGAACAGATAGGTACCGAAAGACACAGATATATTGATTTTTGGATAGGTGCATAAATGCTCAGATAAGATAGATAGACAGGTAGATAGACAGATAGAGACATATGTAGGTAGACAGACAGATGGATAGATGGGCAAAGTTTATCTCCCCGCATCTCGTAGATGTTCTGCAATCTCATCCCGAACCACTAAGGTATTGCTACACCCCCCCCCCTCCCCCCCCAAAGAAGCACTTGACCATGAAGACCGCTCATGTCGCCTTTGTGAATGATTTGAGCCCCAAGCCAATTTTCCACTGGTTTCCCTCAGATGATTGGTTTGGACCCAACACCATGGACGCCCGGCAACATCAGTTAATGCAGTTCTTGAATCGCCTAGGAAGCGGTGGGACTTCTCCGATCGTCCTCCAAACTGCCGAGCGGGGTCTTGCTTGACTGCCGCCGCACGACGCGGGGACACCGCAGAAGTGAAGTCAATCGTGGAAGAGCGCATCGGCAAAGGCTTCTTGCACTACCCCGACTTTCTGCTGAACTACTGCGCCAAGTACCACGAGGTTGACTACAAGATGGGTGGGTACACGAAGGAGTGGGACTGGTTCAAGTACACTCCAGTCGTGGCTGCGGCCAAGAACGGTCATATTGAATGTGTGCGGGTGTTGCTGCTCAATGGAGCCTGCCCAGTGTCTTGTTAGCAGCTATCACGCTTTGCAAACTTTAAATCTTGAGGTGATCTACCCACGCCCTTGTTTGGTTCATGCCATTTGCAACCCACAATATTTCAGCACAAACACCTCGAAATCACAGGAAGCCAATCTGCAATGTATTGCCATCTGTCATAGAACTCGAGTGCACCCTAAACCCTAGACTGTAATTACTGGGTCCTTAAATAAATTATTTAAGCTACCATAATACAGAAACCATATTATGTACTATAGATGAAGGGTCTGTGGACCTTCGGGGCTCGACATGGATAGGTCTTGCAGTGCTGCGAGATCGACGACGTTTGCGAGGATGCCTTGCAAGCCGCCAGCAGCCAGGGAGGCAGCTGGACTCCGACTTACCTGTGGCAGAATCTGTGTAGCTTCTACCTATAGTCCCCATTGTAGTTCCTGTTTGGGGGTTACCTTTTGGGATCCTTAATATAAAATTGGCTAAACCAAAACAGGAACTACAATGGGGACTATAAGTACTGCCTACTTTAGGGGCCTGAACAACTAGTATACAGTAATAGTAGTTTTTGGTGTTTACTCTCTTGACAGTCTACATTCGCCAGAGCTCGCACCCAAGCCTCACTATTCAGGCTCCTACATTGCCCCTCATAGGAAGCTAGACGGGGCTGTAGCAAATGGTCGGGTACGCATGTCAGGGACTCCCAAAACAAAGCTATCTTAAACAACGCTGTCGTTTCCCATCCCCAAGAATCCCTGAATCCCACAACTAAAAATAACTCCTCGGAATTTTATGCCTTCATACACATACATGTAAACCACCTTCGACGCCTTGCACGACCACAACCCCGGCTGGTCCCTGCACCCGAGAATCCCCAGAAAGCCCTGACCTATGGTCTCCATCGTAGTGTTCCTTTTTGGGTTTCACCAATTCCATTATTGGATCCCAAAAGGTAACTCCTCAAAAAGGAACTGCAATGGGGACTATAGGTAGAGCCCGAAGCCAGCAACCTAGGTAGCCCTTTACTGGGTTTAGGGTTTTGGGATTACGGTTTAAACTTTAAAGTCCCTAAACCCTAAACCCTACACCCTAAACCCTAAACCCATAGACAGAACCTCCCAAGCTCCCCCCCCCAGGCTAGGTTGGCAATTCCATCGCCACTGAGTTGGAGAAGCTGGAGCGCGGAGAGCAGCTGACCAGTTGCAGGAAATTTCGCTGCTGCATTTGTGGGGTTTACTTGGAGGTTCATGGGTAGTTATAAGTGGGGTTATAAGTCCCCTAATTTGGGTTATAACTGCAGTTACCCTACTTATAACTCCACTTATAACTACCCATGAACCTCCAAGTAGGGTTCCGAGTTGAGGGGTTTAGAGTTGTGTCTGGGGTTTGGGAGGGGGAGGGGAGCTTTTTCAGGGCAATCTCAGGGTTTTTTTTTAACTTACTTGCAGGATGAGGGCGCTTAGTGTGGCTATGTTTTAAATTTGCAACTAAGGAACCCTTTTGTTACTTGCTGGACCTACTTACACCCCCCAAACAAGACACCAATGAGCCTGGGTGCCTTTTTGGAATCATGAACCTTCAAAGTGCGCGTTTGGGTGTTAGGACTTGGAGTATTAAGGATTGAAGTTTCTGCTTAAAGGAAGACTCGCTTTAGCACATATTGTATGCAGTCTCCTTTTGCATTCGTGTTTGAGGTCATCCGAATAATTCAATGCTCCCCAGAGACTCTGATATACATCAAGTAGTCCACATTCCTTCAGAAGGCTGACTTCGTTAAGATGCCATCTTTGATCCATAGCTGTTGGGATACTGTTGGGGTCTCTTTGTGTATCTGAAAAGTGGCCTGAGGCTGCAATCCTACAGCTCCCTGGTGCAGCAGGCAGGAAGTGAAAGTTCCTTAAACCCTAAACCCCCAACCCTGGTGCAGCAGGCAGGAAATGACAGTTGCCAGACAGTTATCAAGAATGCCCTGGCTCGCGCTAAGAAGTCTGCAGAACTGGAAGCTCGGCTCTTGCTCAGGAGCTCGATTTAACATGCTCTAATACCCTAACAAAGGGTACATACACATGTGTGTATAAATATGTACCACGCATGTATGTTTTGTGTATATCCATGACACGAGCCGAGGAAGCACTGGTCAAGGTCGCCATGCCATTCTGGCATCACATCAAGGATCGGAGTGCTCACTGGAATGAGACTGGGTTCTTGTTAAGGAGCTTGAACTGGAAGTTAAACGCTGTCCTCTAATGATATAGGGATCTATAGTGAATTGTTTATGGTTTCCTAGTATGATAACTTAAACTATATTCTGTAACATGAACCCAGGAGAAGGCAGCTCGAAACAACCAGAAGCTCGTCCCGTCGGATGGGGCAGCGCTGCGCGCGGCCGTAGAAAGGTTCACATTTCAAGCGCGGGATGCCGTCCAAAACGCGGGACTCCTAAATAGGATCCCTATAAACCGCCCCCCCCCCCTCCCCACGCCGCAACAAACAGCAAAGCAACAAAAGCAAACAGCGGCCCAATCACAGGCCTTGTAAGATCCTGTAATTCAAAAGACTTCTACAGCCCGTATAATGTAGAGACCCCTTCCAGTATCACCCTAAACCCTGAAGCCTAAACCCTGAACCCCAAAACACTAAAGCCTTAAACCCTACCTATAGTCTCCATTGTAGTTCCTTTTTTGGCTTCACCAATTCTATATGCAGGATCCTAAAAGGTAACCCCAAAAAGGAACTACAATGGAGACTACAGGTACACCCCTAAACCCTAAACCCTAAACCCCAAGCCCTAAATCCTAAACCTAAACCCTATTATAAGCCCTGAACCCTATTATAAGCCCTAAACCCTAAACCCCTGAACCCTATTATAAGCCCTAAACCCTAAACCCCTAAACAGGCCGGAGAAGGTTTCTCAGAGGAGCGAGCCAAGCGCCTGGCAGTGAGGCTGGAAGAGGAGAGGCGACGTCTCTTCCCGGTGAACCAGCCTCAACTTGCACTGGGAATCTGGGTTCTTGCCTATAGTCCCCATGTGTAGTTCCTTTTTTGGGGTCACCTTTTGGGATCCTTAATATACAATAGGTTAAAGCAAAAAAGGAACTACAATGGAGATTTTATGTGCAGTCTGGTGGAGCTTTACTTGGGTTTCTAATTGGGGTTTACGAGTCTACGACTAGGAATTTGTTGTGAAGTGGCCTCCATGGTGCAGGTTATGTTAGGTGAGAGCCCAGGAATGGGGCAATCAACGAGCAGATGGCGAAGGGCAGCTTCCCTTCCGATGGTGCCAGCCTTGGCGTTGCCCGCGACAAGCAACTCGCGATTCTCATTGGATCAGCCCAGGGCTGTTCCAGAGAAGCCATTTGCCTACCACGGGCCGTGTCTCTGGGTCAGATTTCGGCAAGATGTCGGTGTTCACAGGGAGCTAAGGCTTTACGCAATGAGACGGGACCAACACCTACTATATAGGGTACTAGAGCCCCTGGGGCCTTGTATAGTAGGTACCTTTAGGGTTAGGGTTTCCTGGGCAATCAATCCCATTCCATGTTGGCTCGGACTTTCGTTTTCGCGACGAGCCAAGGTCTCAGCTGTCGGAGGAACACCAGTGCCCAAAACTGCACCTTCGGATGGTGTGGCAAATGCTGCAGGGGGAAGGGCTGTGCCCGCCACCGCTGAGGATAAGAGCTGCCATTGATTCCTTGTGGATCCCAAACCCTCCTGCAACTGGTTTGTTCTTCGGGGTAAGCCCTCTATACCCTGAACCCTAAACCCCAAAACTAAACCCTCAACTCCTTTGTGTTGTCTTGCTTCTGGGGCTGCAGGGGGATACGTCGCTCGGGAGCGATCCTCACTAGGGAAAAGATCCGTGCCCTGAGGGTCCGTGTGCCCATGAAGGGGAACCCTATTATAGTCCGTAAAGTGGTGTGTGGTTGAGGGTTTGGGGTTCGGGGGAAGTATATACTATGTGGGCCATATGGTGAATATGGCATATACTTGGGCCTTGAAAGGGGTTCCAATTTCGCAACTTGAGATGACCATGATGTAAACTATGCTGGTACATGGACGCTTACGGCATGGTCTCCGGGTTTCTGGTATGGAGGCCTTCAGCGATGCTGGCGGTGCTGTTGGGGTCGGGTAGCACCCTGCACCGATGAAGGCGCTCGCAGCCTGCAAAAAGCTTGCGGATACTTGTGATGCCTCGGTTTAGGGTTTAGGGGTTTAGGGGTTTCGGGGTTAGGGCTGAAGGCTTCTACGAAAGTTCTGTACCATACTTCCATCAATCCAGCCAGAGGGTGCCAGATACACGTGAAAGCAACATGCAAGCCCTAAGCTGATGAAGTCTATGCTCTTTATACCATGAGACCTGATCCAAGGGCAGGAGCCCGGGATTTTCATGGGAAGTGCTGAACCTGATGTGGGAGCTTTGTAACCTGCAATTCTCCTACCTTACCAGAGGCGCAAGCTTAATTGGATTCATGGTCCTCAGCCTTCCATGTTAGCGACTTCTGGCTCAGGGCTTTGCAACTCTGTCCTCGTTTAGCAGTGTGTAGGGCTGAGGCCCTTGGTATGTCTACGATGTATGGCATCGGCCTTCTACTGCTCTTGCATTCCTGCACTTGAGGCCATTCTCCAACTTCCCACGTGAAGGCCCCTCCACCCCTCCACTTCTGCAAGACAAGCGCCGATCACTCTAGACCCCAAACCAAATTAAACCCTATAAGCCCTATACCCCAAACCAAATTGAACCCTAAACCCTAAACGCCAAACCCAATTAAAGCCTAAACCCTAAACCAAAAACCCAATTATAGCCTAAACCCTAAACCCCAAAACCAAGTTAAAGCCTAAACCCTAAACCCCAAACCAAGTTAACGCCTAAACCTCGCAGGCCCAAAAAGCCCGAATAAATCTTCGCATCTCAACGATGCAAGCGTAACACCTAGAGAACCCAATATCCATTAATTAAGGACTATACCCTAAACCCCTAAACCCCTTGTGGATCCCTTATAGATCCCTTTAAGGAAACTCAAAAGCCCTAATATTAAGGCCCTTAGAATTTAAGGCATCAACGATGCAAGCACGAGGTCGGACTCCGCCCCTTTGGTGGCCAACAGCCTGAGATGTGCGTCACCGTGAAGGCGGGAGAATGTTTTAGGGTTTAGGGTTTAGGGGCTTCTGCAGAGTGCTGCGAGGTTGTTTAGGGCTGTTTGGGTCAGTGGCATTTTGCGGGTTCCGGGTATCGGGGTTGCTGTTCAAGGACACAACGCACAGCGCGGGACTCTGCGCTCACAAAAGCTGCGGCTGCTACTGCTCAGAGGATGTACGATTTGTCCACCATCGCTAGTGTGCAAAGTTGTCGACC